GTCGGAACCGACTCGACGGCACTTAACAACAACAACAAGTAAAGAGCATGAAGATATTAGCAGGAGAAGACTTGGGTCTGGGGGAAGAAAAGAAAAGAGGTAGATAGCAAAATAAGTACTGAAGGGTAGTAGACCATAGAGAAGAAATTAATCCTTTGGTAAAGTATTCTATCCATGTGAAACTAACTGTGGTTATATACAAGAACATCCCTATCCTTAAGAAACATGCACTGAAGTGTTCAGGATCAAGGTCCAGGATGTATGCGGTTGTTGTTGCTGAGCGCTGTTGAATCAGCTCCAACTCAGAATGACACCTGGTGGTAGAACAGACTGAAATGTTACCTGGCCCTACACCATCCTTATAATTGTAGCTATGCTAGTTCTATTGTTATAGCCATTGTGTCACATTTTATAGAATGCACACACATAGAGGGAGATGAGATAGAACATAATGTAGGTAGGGGATAGAACATAAATGACAAAGCAAATGGAGTAAAATATTAACATGAGTATATTCCCTGGAGGGGAATATATATTCTTAGTCTTTAAATTTTCTTTAAATTTGTCTGTAAGTTTGGAGTTAAGATGAAAAGTTAAAAAATAAAAACGGTACCTTATTAAATATTTCACACACGCAAACGGACATATACACGTTGCACGTGCACATCGGTTAATGTCTGTTCAAGCAACATCTGATTGCATCTCTATCTATGGTACCACAAAGCTATAGCAGAATTCAGGAATTCCGATTGGAGAATGGGAGGTAGAGGATGTCCTTTGCTTAGTACTGAGATCCAGAGATCTGATCTGACTCTCTGGGTCTCATGATTGCTCTGGCCCTGGGGTGGCTGCCTGTCTCACCCCACTTGTCTCAGGTAGGGATCACACAGACGCTGTCCTAGCTGTCAAGAGGGAGGCCCCACGGAGGCTCTTGCACCTCCGTGGGGCCTCCCTCCCTCTTGATGGATACCCTGGGTACCCTGCTTATATGAGGGCCCAAGCCCAAGGCTGTGGCTCTTTTAGCGGTGGGACAGTGGCAGAAGGAAGAGCAGGAAAGACAATTGTCTAGACAACAGATGCACACCTGGGTGTACAGGCAGGGAACGGGTGTAGCTCTCAGAGACTGGGCAGTGTCCGCACAGGAACAGTTGCGGTGGAGCCAAAGTTTTCACACAGTCCCTCAGTACAGCAATGGGGACGTTGGTCCTGGACCTGACCAGTGACTGTTCTGCCCACCTCTCTCTTGTATATAATCTGGTGTTCACACAACATCCAAACATGTAATATCCTATTTCACAGAACATCTCGTGCACACTTGTATATATATTATAGTCAGAAGGCCTGGGTTTAACTCCCTAGGTCTTTGAAAAGTTTCTCTCCACTTGGCATCTCAGAGGAGGCTGGTTTGTGATTTCTCAGAATCCTTCCCTCCTGTATTTCCCCCTTTTAAAGTAATAATAAAAATAGATTTCAAAAGGAAGAAAACAAAAGATAGTTGTGAAAAGCGACATTTCTCTTGTCTGACTCTTCTCTTCTGTTCTTCAGAAGAAATAATTTTAAAATCATGTATTTGTTTCCATTTCTGCTTCTGGTCTCTAAATATGCTTACACTGCTATTTTTTGCTTGATCCACTTAAGCCATTATCATTGGTTTCTTTAATACGTGATAATTTAGCTCAGCTGTACTACCTGGACACCTTCCTATTAACAGGATTATGTCACATTCAGTTTGTCCACTTATTATCTTTGTAATTTTCAATAATATCCTTGTACTTTTATTTCTTTATTTCTTAGTCTCAACAGTTAAGACATTATTGCTGGAGTTCTCCCCATTTCATCAGCTTAAACCATTAGTTAAGCAGTTTGCCCTATAACTGTGACTCCCCCCTAAGTATACATTGACTTTGAATTAATAATCAACTGTGTTCATGTTGTTATAATTACGTAAATATGCGCTCTACACAGTCAAATGGTATATACTAGGATGGCATATCTTCTTCAGCTTTTTGTATTTTTGATCTGTCCCCCCCTCGCCACCCACCTCTGAAATTTCTAATTGCCTTTCTTCTTTTCCTTTGGCCTTTAGGTTGATACCTCCCTTAGGTTGTCCCACATTTCCAAGGATGGTATCAAGTTTCTCCAAACAGACCTTGTTTCCCCTAGAAAACTCACTTTTGAAAGCTCCGTCTTCCGGTTCCAAGGCGACAGACTGCCCTCTTAAGCCTGATATCCTGGGATTTCCTTTCATTATTCTCCTGGCTTTGAGCTCCTGGTTCTAGGATCTCATGCCTTCATTTCACTGAAGCACCGTCTCAAATAACTTCCTAAGAATTGGTATGTGGGAGGTAAATTTCCTCCATCTTTGAATATCTGAAAGCTTGGGTTGATAATTTGAATGAGTATAGAATTCTATGTTGCAAAACACCTTCCCCTTAGAATGCCAAAGATATTGTTCTGCTGTCTCCTCTGACTGTGACTCATGTAAGAGTCTTCTAGTTCTTTTGAAGGTTACTGGTTTTTTCCTCTCTAGAAACTCAGAAACTCTATTATTTTTGATGTCCTAAAATTTTTCCAAAGATATATATGGGTATGTATATTCTTTGCATTAATTATGCTGAGCCACAGATAGAACTTTCAGTTCTGGGAAAATTCCTTATTGTTTCTTTGCTATTTTATTTTCCTCTGTTTTCTCTTTCTTATTAGTAAGAAGTTAGAC